CGCCCCCCCTTAGAGCTCATCTCTGTGTTTAAGGGTGTTTCTCCTGGCGGGCGGATCTGCTCAGGGGCGATGATGGTGTTTGATTTACTGGTGTCTCTGCAGAAAAAGCTGCCTCTGACGTCCCTTGCCCAGTGTCTGGTGGAGGGGGCCGCAATTTTGGGGGATGAGTCACTCCTGGGGTGAGTGTCTCACACACGCAGACACACACACACACACACACATAAACCTCATACCACTAAGTGCTGCTCCTCCAACATGATCCTGGAACAGCGTACATGAAGTCAGACCGGCATTAGCGGTACCCTGATTCTGCTGCTTCCTGATTGGCTAAGTCTTATTTCCCTCGTGATCACATTGGCCGTCCATTGCAGGAAGATGCTGAAGCTGTGCGGGGACACGGAGGAGAAGCTGGCGCAGGAGCTGCTGCTGTTCGAGCTGCAGATTGAGCGGGACGTGGTGGAGCCGCTGTACATGCTGGCTGAGGTCAGTGAGAGTTATCCTGCACGGCCTCTGGCTGCCCCCCTGCTGCCCCCCTGCTGCCTCTAATACCCTAGGTCAAACATTTTTATAGTCCCTCCCCACTGACCTCCCCATTACTTTGCTTAAACAACTTCCATCATTTAAATTTTTGCTTAAACAAAATTTTCTGCCGAAGTTTTCACCCAAAGCAACTTATTGCTTTCTAAGAGCCGACCTTTCCATCGGCACATGCACAGTGCTGGAACGAGGACCTCACTTTAGGGCACGCCAGCCGCCTTCCGGAGGCTCCCTACACTCTCCTGTGCCCTTAAGCGCCCTGCTGATCCCTCTGTAAAGCCATAGATCTGGCTTAAATTAAATACAGGAGTTAGCAGTCTTCACGGGTGACTTATGCTACGTTCCATTTACCTCGGAGGTCGGAGCTGGGAATGAGGTCACCGCATTCCAGTACAGCAAATCGCAAAGCAATTTATCAATACCAGTCCAATACCATTTAGCAATACCATTTAGCCAGGTTCATTGTTAGCTATTGTTAGCAGTACCAGTACATAACAATACATGATAACAATGCATAACACAGTATTTTGCGCAAACATCACAGCAACATGTCCACAGATAGCCGTTGGACATTACTATCTGTATGACCAATTTAATGACACACAAATGAGTCAAAAGTGCTAATAAGCAGTATTTAACTACTGTTTTCATTTCTGTTGGTGAAGGGTGCCGCCATCTTGAATTCTGAGGTCAGGGTCGCAGAGGTTCTTTCAACTTTCAGAGTCGGAACTCCGACTTCAGGAGGCATTCCTGTTGAAATGTTCGACATCCGGGTTCAAATGGGATGCACCGGTATTCGCAGGACTAGTGCTGTAGAGTAGTCTGTTAGTCTTGCAACAGAGCAGCTACATCAAATCCATGGTCGTTAGTTATTATTCAGTTGATTTGTAAATGGAGGATTCTGCTCTAGCCGTCATGACTACAGTTGGCGAGTTGACCTTAAAGTGGTTCTTCTGCGTTTGTGTGATTACCTCCAGGTGGAAATCCCCAACATTCAGAAACAGAGGAAACATTTAGCTAAACTAGTTTTGGATATGGATTCAGCACGGACTCGGTAAGGGCCCCGATAAGGGAGTGTTTCTTCTGTTCATTTTTCTGTTTACCATGATAAAACAAGACAAGGCTCTCGATCCACCATATTGACTGTGATGCTGTTGGGTGTTTAGCGTTATGCTGCGTTTAATACTGTGGTGTGCTAAATGTTTAGCATGTCCGAGCTTTGGAGCATGGTGTACTGATCAGAAACTGAAAAGGATACATTCTTTTCTAATAACAATAGGCAATACTATGAAGAAGTTGAAGCTGTATATTCCAGTATCTCTTGATTCCTCATATTCAGGATTATATCGTAATATACGTATATAGTTTGCTAAACCTGTAGTACCCAGTTCAGGCCGCAAAAATTACCGTACAGTCAGCTTCTAGTGTGCCCTGTTGCAGACGGCATGCTCTCTCCGCTCACGTCCCAGGTGGCAGCAGTCCTCCAAGTCCTCGGGTCACCCCAGCAACCTGCAGCAGGGCGGAGCCAAGGCCGACGCCCTCAGGGAGGAGATGGAGGAGGCTGCCAATCGCATGGAGATTTGCAGGGTGAGCTTCCGTCTTCCTGCCCCAACACAGCAACTGCTCACTGTTTTTTGCGTTCATGCTATTTTAGCTAATGAAAAATGTGTTTGGGGTCATTGCCTCGGTTTTCTTTCAGGATCAGGTGTCCGCAGATATGTACAACTTTGTGGCCAAAGAAATAGACTATGCAAACTACTTTCAGACGGTAAGTGTTTACAGATTTTGATTGGGAACATGTATTTTTCGGTATAATCCCGATTTACATGATCATCTCTCTTCCCTTCTTTTCCCTCCTTTTTTGGTGATATTTTTGCTGACATCTGTTTCTCCTCCTTCTTTCCTCCTCCTCATCTTTCCTCCTCCTCCTCCAGCTAATAGAGCTGCAGGCAGAGTACCACAGGAAGTCTCTTGAAGTCCTCCAGAGCGTCCTTCCCCAGATTAAGGCACACCAGGGTGAGGCATCTCTACCTGCTCTACCTCCTCTTAGATTGCCCAGCTTCCTCTCCACATGGTCCGGCTTAAGAACGTTCTAGATGGCTTAAATATTTTGCATTTTAAAAATGCCACGCTTGCATTGTAGGCTCTGAGATGTTTCTCTGTGCACTGGCCTTTGTTGCATGTTAGTTTAGTTTATGGCAGGGTTCTTCAAATCTGGACCTCGATTCCAAATCCAGGCCTTGTTTTCAGTTCTCCCAGGTAGTTAGTTTAATAATGACTGATTCTGATTGGTCAGAGGCTTCACACCTGGCTCACAGGTAAAGGAAGGCTGGAAAACCAGCAGGGTTCGGACCTCGAGGGCCGTGATTTGAATGACCCTGGTTTATGGGCTGTGTAACACCCCCTGCTGAACAAACCTTGCATGACAGAGGCCTGGGTAGAGAAGCCATCTTTCGGGAAGTCCCTGGAGGAACACCTGACCCTGACTGGACGTGAGATCGCATTCCCCATCGAGGCTTGCGTGACCATGCTGCTAGAGTGCGGCTTGCAGGAAGAGGTGAGGCATCTTGGGCCCCGTCCTGTCATTTCCTCAACCTCGGGCTACTCGGTGCGATGCCAGCCTGATAATCTGGCCAAGCTCGAATGTTTCTCACATCCTGTGTGTCCAGGGCCTGTTCCGGGTGGCTCCCTCGGCCTCCAAGTTGAAGAAGCTGAAAGCATCGCTGGACTGTGGCGTCTTGGATGTGCAGGAGTACTCGGCGGACCCGCACGCTATTGCAGGTGATCGGGGTGGTACCCTCACCCGTCAGAGTTCTTTAGATTTGGTGTAATTGATATAATTCAAGTCTAGGCATGATTCCCTAACAAATCACATCATTCGTCACTCGATACTCTCCTTCTCAACCTCGTTGTTCCCAGGCGCATTGAAATCCTACCTGCGTGAACTGCCGGAGCCGCTGATGACCTTTGAACTTTACGACGATTGGATCTATGCCTCCAAGTACGTAGGCAAGCCCCAGTCAAACAATATAGGAGTTAGTCCACAGTGCGTTGGCTGGTCAGGTGACTGGGAAAAGTTTGGGGTTGTGTTGCATTGAACAGGGCAACGGCCACCCCACGCAGCCTCATTCCCGAGTTTATCCACTGTGACGTCTGTTTATCTCCAGGTTTGTCACTTTTTCTGACAGTCTTCCTCAGAACGGTGCCATTATTTGTGTCCAGTATCCAGGATCAGGACGTAAGGCTACAAGCCTTGTTGTCGACATGTGAGAAGCTGCCCACGGACAACGTCAACAACTTCAGGTGAATCCTCTCGCCCTGTAAGCCCAATCGACTTTGTCTTCAGAAGGTCTCTTGCACCAAAACAGGCTATATTTAGTAAGGGACCATACATGTCTGTGTGGTGGAACATCTACTCGTCTTCCAGCCTCGACGAGCATCACGGATTCTGAAATACCGCTGCTTCTTCCGTGGTCGCCCCCTACAGGTACCTGATCAAATTCCTGGCCAAGCTGACTGAGTACCAGGACATCAATAAGATGACGCCAGGGAATATAGCCATTGTGCTGGGGCCCAACCTGCTGTGGCCGCAGACCGAGGGGTAGGTCTCCCACCTCTGGGAGCTGTTTTTGTTTTTTTTGTTTTTAAATAACGCATCAGAGGGTGCTAAACCAATCAGCTGTGAGCCGGCAATAAGTCACACAACAGGGGCTCTTCATAATGTGTCTGTCTCATAATGTGAAACTCAATAACCGACCGGCAATGTCTTGCGTTTGGAACATTTTACGGCAACGTTTCTTTAAATCTAGTTCAGATAACTATTTGACAGCTCACAGAAATGAGCTGCTTACATGGGATTTGTCATGGTCATTTATCTAGCTAGTTATTTAATGGATCAATCTTAAATTACTGAACCATGAGGACAATAGTCTTGTATATTAATCTGCTACCTAATGAGCAGCAGTTTTGTCTAGATCTAGGGTGATTTAAATTTTTGAGTATATTTTAGCTCCAGATATTTGTTGTGTTTCCTGACCTCTCTAGCATGGTGTTTAAATATATTTCAAGTAAATAGTGTAATACTATACCGGAATAGATTGCTTCTGTCTGCTTCCTCTTTATGGCAGACTGCAATCGATTACTTCTGCCTGCAGTTGCTGTATCATTGCGATTATGCATTGTAGGATGCTGGAACCAATCAGTTCCTTCTGTCTGCCCGTCGCTCCTGCAGGAACATCACGGAGATGATGACCACTTTGTCACTGCAGATCGTGGGCATCATTGAGCCGATCATCCTGCACGCTGACTGGTTCTTCCCAGGCGGTGAGCAATGCCTGTGTGCCTCCACACACACACACACACACACACACACACACGATAACAATGTGGGCAGGCACATTACCATACCTTCCTCAGGCATCAGTGGATCCAGTTGTTGATACAGTCTCTGTTCAATCACTGCCTGTTAGATGGAGGGGGCGTGTTTGTCCTGGGGTGTCACATGATGAGCTCACAAGTTCATTCAGTTCCCCTGAGCTTTACTCCCAGTTCTTAATTAAGAGTTTCATTTTCGTTTTCTCTCACCCCAGAAAAACAAGCCCAAACCCTGATATCTGACCACAAAGCTATACCTCTTCCTTGACCTCCATTTTCTTTGTGTGTGTGTTTTTCTCTGCTGTTCCCCTTTCCGTTCCTCCTCTCTGCTTTTATTAAGTCCATCTCCACATAAGTCCCCGTCCCTTCCACTCATCCTCAAGTCACATGGTTCTTCTCATTTCTCCGCCTTTCCACTCTAAACTGTTTACACTCGAACTCACAGCACAGCCCCAGCCAAACTTTGCACTATTTCTACAGCATGTTTATTTGTTTGCTTGTACATTCATTCATTCATTCATTCATTCACTAATGTCTTGCGTGTCGTATAAAGCCAGTTTCTGAAGCCTTGGGCAGACACTGTTTCTTTCGTTGTATGCCTGCATATTGTGAAATAACAATAAAGTTTGACTTCACTCGGCTTAATTTGACTCGACAAGCCTTACGTTACCATTGAGAGAATATGCATGTATATGAGGAATATGTGGAATAAAAGTGATACGAATTCTGGAACTGAGTACCTTGTTTACATAAGTGTAGCCTAACCAAACTGCAGTGACCATTTCCAGGCGGGTCGTGGTATGGTCACGTTGAAGACGTGAACCTGAGCGTTGTCCAGGGTCAACCCGTTCTGCTCTTTGTCCATTCTCCTTCCCCCTCCCGCAGACATCGAGTTCAACCTGACAGGTAGCTATGGCAGCCCGATCCACACCAACCACAACTCCAACTACAGCTCGATGCCTTCGCCTGACATGGACCACTCCGAGCGCAAGCAGCACGACCAGAGCCGGCGCCCGCTCAGCGTCGCCACCGACAACATGATGCTGGAGTTCTACAAGAAAGATGGGTAGGGTGATCCGCTCTCCCCAGAGATCCCGCCCACCCCAGCTTAAGCTCCGCCTCTTCACTTGACAGTGTTGATACTTTGAGGAGATACAAGGCACCGTATGGTAAACTGCAGAATTTTCCGGTATCATGCTGTGATACGTGACACCATGTGAACTTACTCTGCGGGCCGTTCTCCGGTCTGTTGTGTGCTGTTTCCATCATGTTCCCCTCATGCGCATCCTGGGATCCTTCCTCCTTCATACCTTCCAGCATACCGGAAGATTCCAGATGAGCTTGTATTGCATTCACAGCACTGTAGAGACACAGCTTCTGGTCCAGGAAGCTGCTGGAGAGTCAGACCTAAACCAAAAGATTGACACAGAGCTGATTAGATCAATCTTTTTCTCTCTTCTGTTTTTTCCTCCTCCTGGGTGTCTAACCACGGCCTGTTTTTAGCATCATTCTGTTCCTCATCCATCTTGCTCACGCTCTCGCCGGAGAGACCCAGTTACACACTCACATGTGCCTGCACAGTGTCCGTTCCGTCCCTGTGTGTGTGTGCACGTGTGTGTGTGCGAGACAGAAAATGTGTGTGTCTGCACTGAGGCTGATAACCGGTTTGTGTGTGCGACTGTGATCAGCGCGCGGGTGTGTGCGGGTGTGTACGGGTGTGTACGTGTGTGTGTCTCACGGAGAATGCGTGTTTGCAGTATCAGTGTGTCTGTGTGGTGCGGTTTAATGAGGAGAGACAGTGTGTGTGAGCAGGTGTGTGTGTGTATGCGAGTGTGTATGTGTGAGACAGAGTGTGTGTTTCTGTATTGAGAGTGTGTATGTGTGTATCTGTGTGTGTCACAGAGAAATGCATTGAGAGTGTATGTTTGAGTGAGTGTGTGTGTGAGATCAGCTACATGCCTGGTTGCCTGAGCTGTGAGTGTGAGTGTGAGTGTGTGTTTGCTCCCTTCTGTGGCTCCTCTCGGGTCTTACCAGCACCGACAGTGGGGGTAGTGGTGAGGGCTGGGTCCCGGTCCCGGTTCCGGTCCCGGGCCCGGTCCCGGTCCCGGTCCCGGTCCCGCCCTCTTCCGTCACAGGTCCCTACACCGAGCTCTCAGCTGGCAGCTCAGAGATGTGCTCCGAGGGTTCTGCCACTCACACTGCTTCACTGCTCACTTCCTGTGGTTTTAGATCGTCGAGCCGTATCCCTGGCAACAGGCTGGGGGGGGGGGGGGGGCAGTATTTGTACTTTGCTTATAGCCCGCCCGCTGAGATTTCCTTCAGCTGGAGGTGGGCGAGATGGGGGCCCCCACCTCACGCTGCCGCAGAGCAGAGCGGAAAATTACCGGCGCCCACATGCGCGGTGACACGCGCGTTGGCGCGTCCACGCACTGGCACACGCGCCCTAGGTGAGCCCTGCCCGTCAGATGCAGCCCCTGCGCTGCGGCAGCTCGGCGTGGGGGTGGGGGGAGTGATAATCTGTGCTGGGCACACACACTGCTGCCGCCTTGGGTTATGTTTGCTGCAGACCTCTCATCTTGTGTCCCAAGGGGGATGTTGCCCTAATTAAAGCAAACGAGGCTGGCGCCGGCCTGCTTGCTGGGAGAGTGTGTCGGCTCTGCGGGAGAGAGCCTGCTTTCCTGCGGTGTCATCCCCCCCACCCTCCGACCTGAGTCCATGCTCCCTTCGCCCCCCTGTAGTAAACCCAGCTCTCCATCCCATTCTCAGCCATCTTGGCCCTGGTTTCGTCTGCTTCTCCTGCTGTCTGCCGCTGTGATGCACGTGCTTGTCTCAGAAGTCTTGCTCTTTCTCATCCTTGATTATTCTGATCTTTCTGTTTGCCTTACTAACGCAGCATAAGGAAGATACAAAGGTATGATGTGACTGCTCTCTTCTCCATCTCATTCTCTTCATGTAGCTTCTCTCAGTGTTACTATAGCCTCTGTGTCTCAGTCTCGGTCACTGTAAATATAGCCTCTGTCTCTCAGTCTCTGTCAGTATTAATGTAGTCTCAGTCTCTCCATCTCTGTCAGTGTTAAAATAGTCTCTGTCTCTCAGTCTCTGTCAGTTTTAAAGTTCCCATCATATCTCAGTCACTGTCAGTGTCAATGTACTCAATGTACAGTGTTAACGTAGTCTCAGTCTCTCCATCTCTGTCAGTGTTAAGTCTCTGTCTCAGTCTCTGTCAGTGTTAAAATAGTCTCAGTCTCTCCATCTCTGTCAGTGTTAAAATAGTCTCTGTCTTTCAGTATCTGTCAGTGGTAATGTAGCCTCTGTCTCTCAGTCTCTGACAGTTTTAAAGTTCCTATCATTTCTCAGCCTCTCTCTGTGTTGGTATAGCCTCTATCTCTCTGTCTCTGTGAGTGTTAATATAGCCTCCGTCATGTTTTGGCACAGACACCATACACTCACAGCCATGTCTGATGCGTTCAGCTTGTCGTTTGTTGCTTGTGTTGGATTTGGGTGTGTTGTCTGCTGTCATAAATTTTGCCATGATGTAACTCATGTCTCAGAAACCCCCCCCACCCCTCCCCTGGCCTATTGCTTCCTGTCTGAGGTAACTGATGTAACACTGGGTTTCTGTTTGTCTATTTATGAATTTTACTATCTTTTATGATCTTTTTGTGGTTATATTTTGAAAAATGTCCACAGTAACCTACTTAAAAATGCATCATGAACATCTTCACAGAATAGCTTCATTTTTTTAAAATAAAAAAAACACTAAATGAAATAAAGTTGTTTTACATATGATTTTGCATATTATATTATCAATTTTCATTCCTATAGTTTTTGTCCAGGAGGGGTTAATGATACATTCTATTAAAGTGAGAGCCAGCACAGTGCATTCTGGGATTGATGATGCTCCATGTTCATTTGAGGGATAGCAGTGTTTCCATGTCAGCCGCTGGGCTCTGTAATCCATAATTCGCCTGGGGTGGGTTACATTCCGGAATGGGTAAGCCCCCCAACCACGGCGCTGTGTTTGCCCCCGCTACAGCATGGGTGTCCGGGTGATGGACACTTCATGGGTAACCCGCAGGGGCTCCTCCACTCTGGCCCGCAAGACGTCCTCCACCCCCCCTGGCGCCCAAGCCCCCGACGCCCTCATCCCTGAGCTGCCCGCCGAGCCGGGCCCTTCCCCTACCCCGTCCCCCGCCACTGGAGACCGAGCCAGGTAGGCCCCTGCTCTGACCCCCCTGGCTTGTCACCCTCCAGCCTCTCAGCATTCCTCCTCTCCCACACTTCCCTCTGTCTCTCTCTATCCTTCTTTCCCCGTTTTTTACGCCATCTCCCCTTTTTCTCATTCTTTCTCTCTTTCCTCTCCCTCACTCGCTTCGCAAGGATTCATCTCGATCTGTTTGAGCTCATGTTGCCCTTGTTGCTATGGGTGCCGACGCCCC